CCTGGCTTTGTAATGTAATTAACATTTATTTATACACAATATTTTTCTAGTTATAAGATGTATGTCACCTCTTTCAAAGACATTAAGGAGCTCTAGTCATATAGTGAGTAAGACATCTGGCTGCTAACCACAAGGTTAGTGATTCAAACCCACCAGCTGCTCTGTGGGAGGAAGATGAGGCCATCTACTTCCATAAAGATTTACAGCCTTGGAAACCCAATGGGAGTCTCTATGAGTCTGAATCAACTTGATGGCAATGGGTATTGGATTTCAAAGAAATCATCAGAGAAAAACTGGTATTCAAATATATAAACTTTCCAGGGGCATGCTTCTTAATAAAAAACAGTAGACACTACTTGGGATCATGGTTTTGTGGGACATTCCAGTCAATTGGTCTAGTGTTGATTTTGGTGCTTCTGTTCTGTCTCTTACTTCATTGTGTAGTGCCAGGGGTCTTAAAGCTTTTGAGTGGGCATTCAATGTACAATTGGTGTCTATTCACTGGGAGTACCAGAACAAGGAGGAGGGTCAGGAATCAGTGGAGAAAATGAAATGTGTGCATGGTTGCCCTCATGAACAACTACTCCTTTGTCATGAGGTCAGGGGAACTGGATGGTGTCCAGCTACCAATACTGAACATTTGGATCAAGGATTCTATGGAAGAATCTGGATCAAAAGGGAGAATATGCAGAACAGAACTTACAGTTTTCAAGGAATCCAGACTTTCTGGAGACAGTGAGGCCAGATGACCCCTCAAAACAGATACCCTGAGGAAATATTTAAATCTTAAATGGATCTATCTTCTGAAATCATCTTTGAACCAAATAATATTTTATTAAGCATTACACTCTGTTGAAGAATTATCTATATGTGATCCAGTTGAAAGCAGCAATGAGAAAGGATGGATGAAAAGCTTGGGTGAGGTCAGTGAGTTTGTGTTGATAATGGCGAAACAGTTTGGAGAAGGTTGTTGAGAAGGGTAGCACAACCTGAAGAACGTGGTCAGTGTTATTGAGTTGTACATGTGGAAATTGTTGAAGTGGTGTATGTTTTGTGTATATTTTCACATGCACACACACATGTGTGACTTTGAAGTAACTGAAAATGTTTCCATGAAACGTTGGAAGAAGTTCAAAGAACTAGCTATTTAACTTTTAATTTAGGTAAGAATTAAAAGACTGTGTTCTAGGACTTAAAAAACATACAAAGAAAATACAAAGATATCCAAAACAACAGCCTCCCAACCTGTTACCTCTACCTTTTCTCCTCCTATCCCAAAGCCAAGGGAATAACCCTACCAACCATTGAAAACATCAATGCTCTATGGGTACTGGCTCTTAGGTTTCTGATAAAAACTTTATGTTCTTTACTGTAGCCCCTTGCTACTCAATGCATGACTCATAGACAAGCACCACCACTAGCATCACCTGGGAGCTTGTTAGAAATGCAGACTTTTGAGTTTCAGTGAATCAGAATCTGTATTTTAAGAAGATCCTAAAGTAGTTCATAAGCACACTAAAGCCTGAAAAGCAGAAGATCAGTGGTTCTCAGAGTGTGGACCTGAGGACAGCAGCAGCCTCCCCTGGAACCTTACAGAAAATTCACATTCTTGGGTCCTACCTTATACCTACAAATCAGAAATTTTTGAGGTTAGGTCCAGAAATCTGTTTTCACAAGCAATTCCAATGATTCTAATGTACACTAATATTTGAAAACCATTGCTCTGGATCACTGATTGTCAATCTTGGCTAAACATTAGAATCATTCAGGGAGCTTTGAAAACGCTCCGTGCTTGAAGTGTTTCTCAGATGAATCAAATCAGAATTTCAGAGGCAAAGGAGAATTTATAAAATTATCTGAGTGATTCCAATATGAACTAAGGCTGGGAATTATTGCTATAGCCTAGGACAAGGATTCTCAAACCTGGGAAGCTTAAAACAAAACAAAACTGATGGTCAGGAGCTCAAGAATCACTTTTTGTTATTAGCTTCTCAGGTGATTCTAATACTTAGGACTATGAAGCACTGCTCTAGAAACGCCATTCCCCCCACATAAGTCATATAAAAAAGAATAAAGTTTGGAGGTAATGAAAAAGGTATATTTTCATTTCCTTTATGTTTATTGAAGGAGCTCTGGTGGCACAGTGCCTAAGGCATTTGACTACTAACCAGAAGGCTGGTGGTTCAAACCCACCAGCCATTCTGTGGAAGTAAGACTGGGCAATCTACTTCCGTAAATTTTTACCACCTCAAAAACCCAATGGGGGTCGCTATGAGTTGGAATTGACTTGATGGCAGGGGGTTTGGTTTATGTTTACTGAGCTCTTGCAGTATATTAGATTAGTTACTGTGAAGATTAAAGCCAAGTACAAACTATAGTTCCTCCCTATCAGATACATAATCTATATTGGTAGAAAAGACCTGCAACATTTCACATCCTATAAATGATGATTGGAAAGGAACAAATCAATCTATGCTACTGTTCTGGTTACCTAGTGCTGCTCTGACAAGAATATACCACAAATGGGATGGCCTTAACAAATAGGAGTTTGTTCTCTTACAGTTCAGGAGGCTAGAAGTCCAAGTTCAAAGTGCCAGGCTCTAGGGGCTGTGTGAAAGCCCCTCGACCTTGGGCTTCAGCTCTGCCTTTTGTTCCGAGATCTCTGGAGCTAGAGGCATCTCTTCATTCAGGCAGCGACTGGCTGCTGAGGCTAACAAGCCCAAGGTTGATAAATAAAATGACACAGTCCCAATGTTACCAAACCACACGGCAGGCCATTAATTCAAGTGCATTGTAAGTCCCAAGGTCGGCAGGCTGCTGAATAACGACTCCACTACATGAAAGGTCCAAGTATGCCATAAGCTAGAGACTACCCCAAGGCTTCTCCTTATATACAGGAAGCAGACCACATCCCAAAGGCAGCTACTCAGCTGCTAGTGGTAGATTCCACCATGGAGTTGATTGCCAGTCTCATCATGGGGAATAACTATCACCAGCTGCTCAGCCACTCAACCAGACCCAGCCAAGTTGACATACAAATTTAACTACCACAGCTACTAATATATTTTATCCTACCAACATATCCTCAGAGCTCTGGTGTGTAGTGGCTAAGGCACTTGACTGCTAACCAAAAAAGTCAGCAGTTCAAGCCTAGGTGACCTACCTCTGTGAAGATTTACAGCCTAAGAAACCTGCTGGGGGTCTCTATGAGTTAGACATAACTCGATGGCACAGTGAGTTTGGTTTTTTTGTTTTTTGACATGTTATTCACCGGTAGGTCAAACTAACTTCTAAAAGAATATAAGGAAGGAAATATAGACTGAAGAATTTTGAATATAATTAGCAATCTGACCTGAGCCGCTTGAACCTGGAGGGAGTGGTAGGAAAGTTCACTGGTTAGTCCAAAGAATAATTCAAGAGCTTAAACATTGAGTAAACTTAGAATTCTTTACAATTTCCTTTGTGGCATAACTAAAAGAAAATATTGCTATGGAATCATGGACAATTTCCTCATCCCAACATTGGTTAGTAAATCAAGTTATAATTGCCAAGAAATATTAGAAATCCATATGAGATTATAATAAATCTTCAAACATTTTTCCCTTCTGTTATTGGACATGTAAATTTAAAAAAAAAAATCTCACTATTAACCCTTCCTTTTAGATTGGCTTCTTTTACGAACACATTTTTAAAATAATGAGAAATATCACCCTTGCCTGGGAGAAGCTACTAGCTATAAACTTTTTCTATAGATATTATTAGACTATTGAATTTATTCATATTTTTAAATGGGCAATGAAGCAAAATTCAAAATGTCATGAGTTTTATAGAACATAAAAAGCATACTAACATCTGAATTGGGTCAATAACCTTGAAAATTCTGTTTGAATTTAGCTATATGTCTGTTTTGATAATTCATTTAAATGTACTACACCCATTCCTTCATTTTATTATTAGCTACAAAGGCAAAGATGTGACATAATACTTTAAAACTATTAAGGGAATTTCTGAATCAAGAAAAATCACAATTCTTTAGCCACCTCATATATCTTGTTCCATCAGAGAAAACATTTAGAGGTTAGAACATTTTAAATGATACAAACTTTGATTTGGAATTGGTCTATGAACATTCATATTTATTGTAACAGCCTTTGTTTCATATTTGAAAATGACTTCAAGCTGTTTTTCCAATAGAGTGATGGATGGCACTAACCTAGCCACACTCTTTTCTTGTCTCCAGGGGCTGGTATGACCTTTATGCAAAACCATGAAATAGAGCTTTATTTACTGGCTCCAAAAGATTTTGGATTCATCATCTGAGATAGAATTTATCCTCAAGATGATTGGATGAAGATGAGAGGGCATTATTATTATTCCAAATTCATATAGAGACACACTATGGTTTAATATCACATCATTTGCATGGGGCAGTAAAGGACAGTGTAGTGATTATCAAGAGGAGTTGGTAGGGAACAGAATTGCCTGGACAACTTTAAAACATGCATCATATTATACCCTAGTTTTCCCACTCCCTCCAGAATTCTCAACAAAGAATATGAATTGATTATCACTTCTGTATGTCATGACATCACCAATATGTTGGGGCATTAAAAAAGGTTGAGAACCAGTGCTACAGTGGAAACAAAAGCAATAGACACAGAGAATCAAATATCTTGTATTTTATCTGTTAGAATACATAGTATTAAAAAATTCTATACTTCCTTGAATGGAGGAAATCTGGATAAAATAGTTGAATTACAATAATTATAGCATTTATGCCACCAATGGCCTCTATTTTGCTCTTAAGAATTCGTGGAATTCTACTTACTTTACAAAGAGAAGCAACATCTAGGGTATCATATGGAAGCATTTGTTTTACTCAGTCAGATGGTTATGATGACATTATACTCCCAAAGGAAGTGATACCCAACCATTTCAGATAGACACAAATTCCAATTTAGAGCTTCTGAAGAGAATTTTAAGTAGCTGCTACTACGTACCTGTTCTACGTGAGTTTCCCCCCTTTTTCTGTTATGAAGTTGAAGATAAGAGTCAGTTTTAGGAGTAGGTATTCCCAAAGTCAGCTTATTTTTTTCCACAAAATATTGTTTGGACTTTCTTCGTCGAGGGCCACGTGATCCTGGCAGGAAAACCTCATTATGTGAACTTGAACTCTTTACGTACTGAGAGAGGTTGCTGGACTTCTCCTGGTCACTATCACTCAGCTCTGAAAGTGGTTGGCTACGAAGGGTACCACGTTCATAGTTTGGGCTTAAAAATTCACTACCAAGTAAGGAGACTTCACTCTGTGGGCTCTTCTGTTCCTCTTTTCCTCCTAAGGGTTCCACTGAGGTCTCCTTGGAAGGGTAAAGTGGATCCAAAGTTAAATTTTCTGTAGAGCTGTCTTGAGACTCTGGCAATGTTTCTACAGTCAACAACTGCCCTTTTTCTTCCTTAGTTTTCCAGTTTGGGTCATATCGGAGGTCCGAATATTTGTCCTCTGCTGGTTGTTGGCTGCCCAAAGCAGAAAAGAAATGTCAAGTCCTTAATCAGAATAAATTCGCTCATTATATTCAGTTTGGTAATTTTATTTGAACTCAATCTCAATCTTTCTCCTAATTTTCTTGGGTGATGCGATGGCTAATGTGCTTGGCTGCTAACCAGTTCTTGTCCAACAAGAGGTTCCCTGAAAGAACAGCCTAGCAATCTACTTCCCAAAACTCTCTGGAGCACAGTTCTACTCTTACACATAAGGGGTTGCCATGAATCAGGTCAACTTAAAGGCAACTGGTTGGTTTATCCATGTGCTAAAGATGTATCCAAGGCTTAAATCAGGCCTACACACTACATGTAAGGGCAAAGAAGTTTTATTTATCCAAGTTCCTTAATATATGGACTAAAAATGGGGAAAATTAATTTCTAAATGCCTGAAGACAACTCAAAAACAAATTTCTATAATGTTAAACCAGTGGATCACTGTGGTTCAGGGAATGCTATTATATATGGACACCAACAATGGTTTCAGCTGGTGAAGATCAAATTGGGTTACCTCCCAACCTGGTTATATATACACTTTGGCTATTTAATACAGGAAAGGAAATATGGAAAAGTGAGATTATCATCTAGACAACATTTGCCCCTGTCTGCACCCTTTGGGAGGAAAGCAAGATCTTATCATAACTGAATACCTACATCATAAAAACAAACAAACAAACAAACAAACAAAACCCCCCAAACTCACTGTCATTGAGTTGATTCTGACTCATGGTGTTGTTATAGCAACCCTCTTTACTGAAACAGACTGCCTCATCTTTCTTCTGCAAAGTGGCTGGTGGGTTTGAACCACTGGCCTTCAGGTTAGCCGTCAAACACCTTAACCACGACACCATCAGAACTCCTTGAATACCTAAGTAGGTTCATCCTTTTCAACGATTTTACTTTCCACTTTGTCTTTGTAGATTTATTACAAGTACTACAGAAATATCCCCAAGGCTTAGAATCAGATCCTGGCTCATCAAAGGCCTCTTAGTTTGCACTTTCTTGGTTGTCAAATCTTTATATACAAAGCTCAGTAGACAGACAAGTCAGTAAGCACCTTAAGCTTTAGAATAGCTTGATTTGAATAAACAGTTAAGAATATGGTCCTCTTTGAGGGATGTGAACTAGTCCATAATCTACATATGACCTAAAATAAAGTCCTCTCTTTTCCCCAAGACAATCTCAATATGTAAAGTACCCCCTAACCTTAACCAAAAAAGAAAAAAATACTGGTAATATGGCATATTTAATGGCTTCTTTGATCTTCAAAAGCTAAATGGGAGAGATTTTCCTTCCTTGAGTACAGTAGATGCAATTCTCTAATCAAAAAGAAAATGTAAATCACCTGGGCCTTTTATGCTATTTGATATTCCCGTTTACAGAGGACATAATTTTATGCTGGGTAAACAAACTAATGGTCCCCTTAATACTAATTTATTCTTCTTCATGTGGACCTAGATTTCTTTGATTTGATGTAAAGCAAAATGTAGAGCAAAAAGCCAAAACCCCCATGTCTTGCTAAATTGTTATTTTGAATTTGCTGGTTCACATACTAAGATAGAAAACTCTTATTTTTTTTAATTCTTACTGTGATTTGGGTGAAAGTTTCAGAGCAATTTCATTTTCCACACAACAGTTCACATACATTTGGTCTCATGACATTGACTGCAATTTCCCACAATGTAGCAGCTCTCTTCCCACTTCCTCCCCATAGTTACCTTTTCCCTGTGTCCTTCCCTCCCATGCACTCCTGCCCCCCGAAGATGTCTCCCTGTGCCTACACAGCCCTTCAGTTCTCCCATGATTGATCTTTCCAAGGAGTGTATCTACCTGATATAAATGTTCAGCACATATATTGGTCTTTTATTTGACAGAAAGCCACAGGAGTTCAATTCCAGAATTCAATACCAGAAGGGCAGCTAGGGGCCATAGTCTCAGGGGTTTCACCAGGCTCCATCAGACCAGCAAGCCTGGTCTTTTTTTTTTTAATAATTCTGAGTTTTGTCCCATATTTCTCTCCTACTCAATCCAGTATCTCCTACACAGATCCCCCTCTGAGTAGTTGACAGTGGTAGCTGGGGACCATCTAGTTCTTCTGGTCCATGGTCATACAGGCATGACCATGAGTGCATTGTCTACCAGTCCCCTGGACTGTTTCCATGAGTCTTTGGGTTTCTTCATTCTTCTTTGGTCTGGACAAGGAGAGAACCATTGTTGCATCTAGATGGCCACTTGCAAGCTTTTAAGATCCCAGCTGCTACTCACCAAAGTAGAATGTAGAACAATGTTTTCGTGTAGTATGTTATGACATTCTTAAAGAACATACAAATACGCTTGCAGAAACATCACATGCCAACCCTATACATAGTTATGGGCACACTCCCTCCTGCCTAGATATACCTGATCGTTCATCCTGTCCACCCATCTATCCACCCCATAGATCGATGTTTGCCATCACTGACAATGCAGCACTGTATGTGTAAAAGGGTTCATCTTTTTTGTCTGTATTTCCCATGAACCTCTCTATGTCTTCCTCTTCCTCAATGTCACTGTGTTGATCACTCACATTTGGTGCACTGCCCTTCCCTGCACCCAAATCAACACTTGTCACTACCTATCTAATTGTTGGATATGTTGGTTTAAGTGTTGATTTTGGTTCTTTCTTCTTTTTTGATGTGTGCATTTATTGCTATAAATTGGCCTCTGATCACTGCTTTT